ATCAGCCCTGAGCTAACATCCATGCTAATCTTCCTCTTTTTGCTGCGGAAGACCAGCTCTGAGCTAACATCTATTGCCAGTCCTCCTCTTTTTTTTCCCGCAAAGCCCCAGTAGATAGTTGTATGTCGTAGTTGCACATCCTTCCAGTTGCTGTATGTGGGACGCAGCCTCAGCGTGGGGGGAGAAGCGGTGCGTTGGTGCGCACCTGGGTTCCGAACCCGGGCCGCCAGTACCAGAGCGCGCACTTAACCACTAAGCCATGGGGCTGGCCCTGAAGCTTTTCAAATAGCCCTGGTCTTTCTCGCCTTTCTCGCCTGGGGCCAAAGCACTGCTGATTAGGTCACTGGAGGGATGGGCCATCTGGCTTGTAGGTGGTGGGCCCACTCTCCCCATGTTCTCTTCCATCTAACCATCAACCTGATTTGACCTTCGTCTCCCCACAGGTGCTGTGTCTGGCAGTGGCCGTTGGCCACGTGAAGATGACAGATGACGAGCTTGTGTACAACATCCACTTGGCTGTCAATTTTCTGGTATCATTGCTCAAGAAGAATTGGCAGAACGTCAGGGCTTTATACATCAAGAGCACCATGGGCAAGCCCCAGCGCCTGTACTAAGGCAGAGCTCAATAAACTCCAGTGCCACCATTACCTGTCTGCGTGTGACTAGGGGGTGGCTGGGGGTGCTCTGTGAGCTGAAGTCGCGCTGCAGCACCGTGCCAATGACTGCAGTTTCTGGCATCCCAGTGATAGGTGATCATTTTACCCATACTGCAAACCAGGAAGGGCATTCTTTCTGCTTTCAAAATTGTGCTAATTCAGATCAGATCGCTTGGATACTTATAATGTGTGACACAATAGGACTGCCAACCGAGGTTGAAGGTTTTCTAATCACCCTGAGAGGGGCAGATCAGGGCTAGGACTCAGTCTATCCTCCTGGACTACTGCTGCCTCTTACTGGTGGAAAGAGGGAGGACACTGACTCAGCCTTTGGACGCACACAACCTGTGGCCTGAAGTTTCTGTGTATGTCAGGGTTTTTTTTTTTTTTTTTTTTTTGGAGAAAGATTTGACCTGAGCTAACATCTGTTGCTAATCTTCCTCATTTTTTCCTTTTTTCTCCCAAAGGCCCAGTAAATAGTTGTATGTCATAGTCATACATCCTTCTAGTTGTTGTATGTGGGACCCTGCCTCAGCATGACTTGACTGGTGTGCAGGTCCGCGGCCAGGATCTGGACCGGTGAACCCTGGGCCAGTAAAGCGGGGTGTGCAAACTTAACTGCTATGCCACCAGGCCAGCCCCTGTCAGGGGTTCGTAATGTCGGCTTTTTTGGGGTTTTTTCTAAATCAAGCATTTGGGGTCTTGGTCTATAGGGATCACAAGGAAAGTTGGTCCAAATGGAGACTGGGTTACAGTGGTCCTGGGATCAGTTTCTTTGATGGTTCAGATGATAGTGGTCCACAGACCCTGAGAAATTGGCCTAGTATTTGCTTGCCTGACCCCAATTTGAAGACTGTTCAGGGTAGTAAATTAGTGGGTAAGATGTTTAGGAAAAGGCAAGTAGACTACAATATTGTAATTTATGGGCCCTGTTGATGTTTTCTAGGGGAGTTTAGTAAGTGGGTGGAATTGGGCTGTGGAAACTTCCAGGCCTTTTGCCCCCACCAGGCAGGCTCTGCCCTCTCCCTGGCCTGAGGAACTTCCGTGTTGCAGTTCTTGCCTCCAGCACCCAGTACTGGAAAGGTGGCTTTTGGTGAGGTGGGAAATAACCTGTGTAACCTTTGCCTGGAATCTGCTTCATTTAACTTTGGTAAATAAAGGAACCAGTTCATCCCTCTGCTCTTTAGTAGAGCTGAAAGGCTAATCCAAAACATAAATAAAAATGCTGCACCTTCTCCAAACAAGCTTTATCTGGCCTTGAACGGGGAAGAGTACAAGGTTTTTACCAAAAATCTTGAACTTTTTTTGCCATTTTAGCTTTTAAGTTATTAATAACTTTGCAGGTAAGATGGCTACATATCTATTCTCATGACGAGCAATGAATTTTCGTTCTCAAGGTAACAGTCCTAGCTTGATCCTTCCTCTGGTCTGTTGCCACAGTATTAGGAAGGAGTACAGGCATACCTCATTTTATTGCACTCCACAATTTGAAGGTTTGTGGCAATCTTCGGTCAAGCAATTCTATCAATCAGTGCCATTTTTCCAACAGCATTTGATCACTTTGTGTCTCAGTCAGATTTTGGCAATTATCACAATAAAACTTTTCCATTATTACTGTATTTGTGGTGATGTGTGATCAGTGATCCTTGATGCACGACGGTAATTACTTGGGGGCAGCATAAACCATGCCCATATAAGATGGCGAACTTAATCCATAAATGTGCGTGTGCTGAGTGCTCCCTGTTCTCCAGCTGTCCTATTCCCTGAGTCACAATACATACAATCTTTGTAACCAGAAGAAAAAAGGCAATACCTAAAATAAGTTAAAATGTATGGTGCTTTGATGACTAGAAGACGGTAATACCAAAAAAATCACAAGTGTGAATACGTTTTATGACCTGCCTCTGTCAGAAAGCTGCTTACAAGGTGCTGAGTACAGCAAGAGAAAACAGGCGTGAGAGCCATGAGGCAGAGGCAGAAAACAAGTGAAAGTCGCACATGCTTGCCAAGGTGGGCCCCTGCTGCACCTCTGGCGCCAATGCCGAGGACCTTGGTGGGTGCACAGGTCTGCTCTGAGATAAAAGCAAACCACCTTCATGAGCCTAGGACCAGAAAGACGTTTGTGTTCGCACCAGCAGCGGTGCTGACAGCGTCGCCGTAGTGGAGCCAAGAGTTTCCGAGGACATTTCTCATGACCTCAGATATATACTCAACAATTTGCTGGGTACAAGAAGACCAGCCATGTGATTGATTGTCTGAGGCCCTGACATTGCCTGAGTTTAAATCCCAGCTCTGCCACTCAGGAGCCATGTGAGCCTGTTGAGTGAGTCTGTTAACGTCTCTAAAACTCTCCCCCCCCCGCCCCAAGCCCCAGTAGATAGTTGTATGTCATAGGTGCACATCCTTCTAGTTGCTGTATGTGGGACGCGGCCTCAGCATGGCCGGAGAAGCAGTGCGTCTGTGTGCGCCCGGGATCCGAACCCGGGCCGCCAGTGGCAGAGCACGTGCACTTAACCGCTAAGCCACGGGGCCGGCCCTCTAAAACTCTTGTTTTCGCCTCTGAAAGTGCGGATGATGAAGGTACCTACCCAAAAGATAGCAGTACCAACTTCAAAGCATTATGTGCTTTGCATAGTGCCAGGGACTTAGTACTCAATTAAATGGCAGTTATAGAATGGTAATTACGCATAGCTACATACATGTATGTAGCAGACCTGGTACACAAAGGTTTGTTTCTGGTTCAGTGGGGTTTAGGATGACAGATTGAGTGGAGGCAATCCTGAGGACAACACTTCATCAATGGTGCTGATGAATGGGGAGAACAAGGTGCCTTCAAAAATCAATCCCACCCTTCCATTCGAAATGAGCCAAAGGGGCCGGCCCCGTGGCTTAGTGGTTAAGTGCGTGCGCTCCGATGCAGGCTGCCCGGGTTCGGATCCCGGGCGCACACAGACGCACTGCTTCTCCGGCCATGCTGAGGCCGCGTCCCACATACA